GATTTAGTATTGTACCCACGCTTGACTTGGAATCTTCATAATCATAATTGTAAGTGCCTATATCTGATAACCAGAACACTGGCTCTTTTTATAATTGATTAGATTCTTTCAGCAAAGCTTAAATCTTCGGTTTTATCGTAGTTTCGCTTAAAACCATGCACTACTAACTCTACATAAACATGCGTAACTAAATCACAATCCGTTACTGACCCCTTAGACCAATAACATTTATATGGTAATCTACAGTTAACAAATTCGTTTGCACATGCAAACTTTCACTTCACCTTCAAAGTCCTTTTCCAGCCTTCACAAGATTCTGCGTCTATAGATGTGGTAACGACTGGCTTATCCATCAGGAAGCGTTATCAATTAAGTTATATATACACTCTCAAGACTGATTCAAATGATAATCAGTCAGATTTACATACAAAATATACGTTATTATCGCGTGTGTCCACGAAACGACGCGGGTGTCGTGCAGTCATGTAAAGAACAGCTGTGCCGGTAGTTTTCCAAAAAAAAAAACGATTTTTTTTTCAAGCTGTGAGTTATTCATTATTCTCTCTGTGTTAAACTGTTTTTTTATTGACTTTTCAAATAAATTAAAACTTTTAAAAGAACGCTTGGCACAGTTAGTACTTCAACCGTTAGTCGAGTTGCAAACAGTGATCAATATTTGGTAACAAGACAAGTCACCCGTTTCATTGAACTATTTACATCTGTCGCCACATAAAGCCACCTTTTTCCTAAAGGAAGTAATATGTTTTTAAGCAGGTGTAAAAACTCATGAAACAGGATTCGGTTTGCTAACACTTTCATRAATAAAGTAGAGGATCGCATCTGTAGCCGTTATTGCAACATCATTAGCCTTGTAATGAAACGTTCACGCTAAAAAGTTTACTGAAAAAAAATGGCGCTCCTATAAAAAAAAAATTATACACTATAAAAATGTTATACTATATCATTTGATAAAAGATGGATAGTTTACCAAAATATGTAATAATCTTATCTTTTAAACATAGCCATACAACAATAGTCTTTCAGTTTCGAAAAAAAAAATCTGTTGATGATACTTGACTTCTTGTTAAAACATTATAAAAGAGCGAGCGATTTCCGATAAATTACTTAGGTCTGCAGCTTACAGGTTTTTGTACGTGGTGACTAGATGGTGTATTGAATGATTTAGCATAAAGAGAATGAAAATGAAGGTTACCTTTTTCAGTGAGGCCAAAAATGAGACCATCCTGTTCAAAACGTAGAATAAGTAACTAAATGTTATTCTGGAAAAGAGCTTCAGAAAATGACTATGCTGCCTTGCAAACATGCATGGCAGGAAAATATTTCAATATGGAATTCGAATTAATACAATCAATAACGTGCGCGAAGAGTTACCTAGTAATATAAACTCATTCCAAACAATTAAAAAAACTATTCCATGACAACCTCAAAATTATATTTTATAATATATATAGTTTTGTTTTTAATGTTTGTACTTGGCCATTTCGCAGCTTCATTTGTACATTTTCAAGTATTCAGTCATATCTTATGCATTTTTATTTATTTTCATTTCAGAAACAATGTGTCATTATGGATGTCATTTAGTGYAGGGTTCGTGGTACATGTTCATCACAGAATTCAAGGGCTTTTACAGCACTTTTAAAACACGAAAAATAAACAATTACAAGGACTACAATTCGTTTGAGGTTTTTGGCATGGACGATTTAATGCGGTGACTTCTGAGAATGTCAAACATCAGACTGTAATATATTTAGGAGCCGATTTTAAGGGTTTTTCAGGTGCTCCTCGAAAATAATTTGAGCCCTAACAAATTCAATCTGATCGAATGGGACTTATTCTGAAAATTAAATAGCTTTCATTCAAATGCAGTTTTTTCTACGCGGCCATAAACCTATCAATTTGATAGCAGTTTTTCATGAGTTAGTCAMCYCCGCTTTATAGCGCTCTGGAACCGATAATGGACCCTGATACAATATACAGCTTGAAAAAAAAAAAMTRWGARAAAAA